GGGTCCAGCCAACCGACCAAATCCCCAAAACTGTTTCTGACCTCAGTTCCCCACGCCGGCGTGACGTCCACCGCATCGTCGGGTTTCGCTATAACTTCCGCTTTCTACTCCACGCGGACGCGACAACCGCGTCTTCTATAATCAACTCTTTCGGTCCATTATCGGAGTCCTCGTCCGGCTTAGTGATTATGATCGACGGCGCGCCGCCGCCCAAAAACTTTGTCCCGTAACTCAAAAGCAGCGCCAAATCTTCGACGGTCGGGTCCTCGTCATAGTTGTCGAAAACGCGTAATTCGTTTTCCATCGTTCGATAATCGATTTCCTTGATGACCTTTGTCATGCCGCTTAATGTTGCTCCGGCGTCGAGAGCGGTTTCAACGTTATGTGATTCAGCCATTTTGGATTTTGCAGTATATGGTGCGGGTAACGATAGTCAGAAAAATAAAATGCAAGTGAGCATTTTCGATAACCGTCTTAGGCCGTCGTCAATTGTTTAAAACCAAACATCGTTTAATTACTAGCCAGCGTCATCATATATTATTATTAATCGGCCAGCACCAGCTGGATGTTGGGCCCTTATATTTTTCCAAACACCAGTATCACTCATACTACTATATAAAATTGTTAAACAATCGTTACTAATCTTAATTTTATACTTCCAAAAAATCATCAAAAATGATAATACGTATAACTTACTAAATCTAAAACAATTGCATATCCAAAAAGTTGTATGTCATTTATATTGTTATTTATTTCGATCATAAAGGTATTAATTTTAAACATAATTAAGTACATTACGAAATAAAACAGCATGCTACTAGATATGTCTCCTTTGATAGAACAATTAAGGAATCATAGATATATTTTTGGATAGTTTTGGTTTTGATACAGTGGAAAATTATCTGGTAGCATATTAACAAAAAGTTATCTATACCTATTAAACAATGTTTTTAGGCAGTAAGTATAATGGTGCATTGGTAAATAAATAGCCATTGAATTATATTGCTTCAAATCTACACAGTAATCTACTAATAAGTACCGATGCAAATATTTTCCAAAATTATAATTTATACAAAAAATATGTTGACTTTAAAGTAAGTCACTAACTATAAAAGTCTAGATCTTAATGTTAATAATTTATTGTAATTTGTATATTATTATTTTGTAGGTTTTCTGTCTATATAATAAATGCATTAGAATTTATATTTCATAGAGTCAATATTGTTTTCCCTTTTTGTTTGTTTCATTTATAATTTTATTTATGTTTAGTTATCTCTTCATTGTGTGATACTTTTCCTTTTCGATTATTTGAATTTATAGTTATGTAATTTAATTCTCTGTGTAATCTAGGATAATTTACGTTTTAAAATACGAACTCTGATCTCCTCCACAAGCCACAACTTCTGGAGACAACCATTTCTTTTTTATTTATTTAAATTTATGGTCTTTGAAACAAATTTCAAGATATTTTGTTATTGTTTTATGGGAATTCATTTTTAATATCATGAAATGACAATGAGTATAATATATAATTTGTCTATAATATTAAAATATTTTGAAGTTTCAGCAGAAAATTGTTGCACCAAGAAAATAATATCATTAGGAATACAAATACAAAAAAGGAAAGCACTGGTTACCGCTTTGCCGTACATTAATGGAGTAGGTGTCGGATGTACCTCACCATTGAGTAATAGCCACTGTTGTAATGTATGTGTTAAATTTGAATCCAATAATTAGTCATTAAATACGAAAACAAAATTCTAACCTATAATCATCATGTCATATATTATTATTATTAGTTAACAAAGTTTGGTTACTTGTAAACATTGAAAACAAAATATGGATCTCATTTTATACAAATACATTTGTATCACGACAATATGTATTAAGGACTCGCTCTTTAAATGGCACAACAAAATATCTAAGTGGATAATAAAAAATATGGTCTTTGAAGACCCTCAAAAATTTCAAAACTAGAATTGGTTTATAGTGAATCATCCGGTATAGTTTATTAGTATATTATGGTCAGTATATATATGTAATGTTTGACATTTTGAATCCCTCGACCACTTTGCCAGTTTCGACTCAATCGTAAATGAATCGTTAGGTTCCGTTTCGTAGGTATCTAAACGTACATACCTATCTGCAGTGAGATGAAATAGTTTTCAAATCATTATTAGGTACTTACTACTAGCATTAAGTAAACACTTATAGGTGCATGTATCGTATATACAATATTATGATAATATGCTATGTAGGTTAAATTGTTTGTTTTACATTTTACAATAATCCGACTTTATTGCATACCTACTCTACTGGACTCTCAATCGTGTATATTATATGACTGCATATTGTATGTCAACTGTACGGCAAAAAAATAGGGTATATATGTATAGTATAAACACATTACTTTGAGCTGTTAAATCTTTGTACGTCGAATAAATCCGCAAGGAACTAAGTGCGCGATTTATATGAAATTATGGTCTTCTTGGAAATTCATTTTTTTTTACCATGTCGACTGCACAGTGCACATACTTACTACAATACTGTTATATATACGTTTGTTTTCCTCGAGGTTTACATTTTTACTGCCAATGTGGCTATAAAATACGATCGAAACAAACGAAATTACAACACTATATTATATTTTCTCTTGATACCAAATCTAATGTCATATAATATATTTTCTATATTAGAAGTATAAACATTTCACACACTTATCAATAAGTTATTATATAATACCGTGTAGGCGCTATAGGTACTTCTACTTAACAATTTATTGTAGTATAAAATGTTGATATTTTTTTTTAGCATCTTTCTACGATCTACCGAATTGTTGTATATAATATTATCTATACAATCAGTAGTGCTGAGTACGCACTTCGGGTATTGCAATAAAAGGACGTAATAATATCAAATTAAGGCGGTGTAGTTGAACCACTTAAAATTTTGGGCGGGTGGGTGAGTATAAGTAGGTAAAAATAATTTATCCACTAAAATTAATACTATAAGTCTACAACCATATAGTTGCACACGTTATTAGGTGTTATTTGTTTATTTATTTATTAAGATTAAACGGGGTGAGTCCTTTTATTACAACAGTTAAAACACATACGTTTACGATTTACATAATATAATAACATATAGATTTATAAGATAGGGCCTACATTCAACTTTTATAATACAGAATTTAATTTAAAATGTGAAGGAGGGACCGCATTGGCAATTAGTAGGATATTAATTTACATCCGATTATCATCGAAATGTTTAATTTTATTATAGCATTGTAAATGTAGGTAGATACTCGTATCGAATATGAATAGCTCGAGTGTTGACCATTGTTTGAATATACTTACCTAATTATATAATTATATTATATTGTATTGGTGATTAAATGATTGAATATTAGTTTTTTAAATTTGCGAATATGACATTAAAATATATTATAAGCTAAACACCATTTACTTTTTAGAAGGATTTAACATCACTTTACCTCCTAATGGCACTAATGTTTTCCAATAAAATTAATCCCAAAAAAACATTTAAATTAAAAATCAATGGCCACAATTGTTTGCAAAAAATTGACTTATTTTTTGAATCCAATATCATTGAAAACAATCTTACAGCTACTGTCGAAGTATTGTGTAGTTGGTGTTTTTAATTTTTAGCAAAGTATAATATTTAAGTATGTACTAAAACGCATAATTAACCATTTACATTTCAATATTTGCCACAAGTTACTATATCCTGACTCTTTCAATATTGCTCAAGTAACCTTATATGACCCTTCCCCCAGACGAGGGACCGCAATGATATTATGTTTATATGACAAATAAAATTGTCTGTGTGATAATCATCACATATTATAGTTGAAGCATATAAACGCCTTAAGATTCGTATAATATATTTTAATTATTGCTGCATTTGATTAATTTGTATTTATATTTATTTCTCGTTTTTGAAAAATATGAGCAACAAATTTAAAATTTTAATGAAGATTAATGACTAGTAACATTTGTCATAAATGCGACCGTTATTATATTATGTTCTCATATAAATCCTAAGGGTACGAGTGAACGAGTAACTTTGCCTGCAGGACAACTAAGTGTCGGGTGACGGGTGAGAATGTTTCACATTATGATATAATATACAGACTCCTGTAATAATTAACACATACTGTGGACATCAACAATTTTACAACACAGTTTTTTGTTTAAATGTATATCAAAAAAACAACCAGCTTAGTGCATTAAAACTTTTATTTACAAAACGCATTAAAACAAATATAGGTATATCGTATATGTAGATTGTAGGTATACATATAAAGGTAACGACATTATAATAATAAACTGGTTGATTCTTTTAACAGTAAACACTCATAATCTTGAAAACTACTAACGTTTTTTATAAACAAATTTTCAATCATTTTAAAACATTATAAAAACATCATATTGAAAAAAAGTTTTATTTTATTTTATTTTTTTTAAGTTATTACTTTAATGGATTAAAACATACATTAATTTAAGATCCCTTATTTTCTTCTTATAAATTTGATTCATGAAATTGTATTCAAAGGAAAACATGCATAATATAGGCTATAGTTAACCACATACAGTTATGGCCCATAGGGCATCGGCCATAGGTACGAAGAGTAGAGTGAAGTGGTTCCTACGCTACTTGATGGCTTGATCTTCTAGTCCAGTACTCTACTACACGCAACTATTAATTCTTATAAAGTTATAACTAACAATCAACGCTACTCGTTTGAAAATTTCCCGGATAAAATAATCACAGCATCCATAGTAATTGGTTAGGTTAATACTCGATTTATAACAAAATTTGCGGATAGTAAAACACAGAGCGACATCTATTCATTTGTTTTGCAACTACAGGTATGTCGTACAGCTATTGTACATTATTGTACAATTCTTTCAAATGGTCACACTGGACAATTCATATCAATTTTCAGGTTATCATTTTCAATTTGTCATATTCATTGTGTTGTTTTGTTATATTATCCAAAATTGCAAGTAACCGTGCTTCACTGCTTCAGTAGTTAAGGGTTAACACTTGTTCTTCATTTGAATTCTGAAAGAAATTTGAGTTATATTCTTATTTTGCCTTAACGGACTACGTTGAATATTATTTTAATCAACCTTTCGAAACATTATAAACATGGTGAGTTCATTTTATTTATCAGAATTAATTCATTGTTATTACTATGTTGAATACAATATATTGTTTGATTATTAATTGTTTTTAGGATGCCATCGATAATTCTTTCGGTAATTATGCCATCTTGGGGTAAGTTGTATTACAAGTTATAATATTAAAATAATTTTTACTTGTAAATTTCTTATTAATTAACCTTTTACATAATTGTAGTGCACACACTGCCAGACCGAAAAACTTCAAAGAAACTTATCATCCAGTTCAACAAAACTTAATAAATGTGAGTACACACAACACCCTCAAATTTTTTATTTAAACTAATCAAAGGAACATTTATTTTTCTACATTTTAAATATAATGCTATATTTCAACTTTATCACACCGGTTAAAAACCCCCATTTATCTACGAAACCCGCACAACACCCTCCCATAGTAAAACCAGTCTTGATGACAGGTTATAGAGTGAGGATCTTCAGAATCTGTGTGTTCTCTCTCGCTGGACAAAGTATGAGTCGTTGATATATGTAAATATGTACAGTACCTATAACAAAAAAATTGTCTGTACTCTATACTATTTCTAGGTAAGACACAATAATAATAAGTCAGATTCTGATAACTAATATAATAATATTTTTGGTACCTGTCAAGGAACATGTTATTTTTGGGAGAAAGGGAGGTTGAGTCTATTATGTGTTCACAACTTGGCTAAAGTATCCAATACGTAAACAATCTAGGTTGTGGATAAACATAGTTTTTTTAAAAACAAGTCAAGTACTATAGTGTAGTCAGAATTGATCGGTTTGGTTTAATCTCAATATTTTATCCATTTTTACTTCAATAATTATCTGTGTTATTATAAGGTACTGCCAAATCAGTATCGTATATGTATGTACATGCACAACTCAGTATGCTATGCAGAGCTGCACTGTACATTTTTCTTAGAATATTAATAATTTAAAGTCAGTACATCTCTATTCCGCTTTTGTATTTTTATTGAAAGTATGGTATTATATTTGTATTTTTATCATTAGTATGACTAAAAAAAATTTTTGGTGTGTTTCAGTACAAAGCAAAAGAAAATAGAACTCTAGTTAAAGGCTTGATGATCACACAAGGAATGCACATGCCCCTACGTTTAGCTATGGAACAAAAAGTGTTTGAAAGTGTGGGACGTCTACCAATTCTAAAGTCATCTCATTTGCATGCTGAAGTATTGAATGACACTCTTGACACAGTCACTGAACGAGATTACTTGAACCCAGCAGAGTACAATGAAACATTAGTCCCGTCATTTGTAGTTATGGATAAAGATTTAAAATTTTAATTTACAAATTAATATTTATAAACATAAAATGTTTTAAGACATTGTCAATAATATTTTTGCTATTATTAAATGTTCTTTGAGCGAATAAAATCATTTGGGTATTGTGTACAGTTAAGAATAAATAAACGTAAAGTATAATTATACAATTTCACTCAACATTTTGTATGGTTTTTATGTATTTTTCCTTTCAGAAATGAAAATCTGGTGATAGTTTTACTACTGTTCACGATAGAAATCAAATATTTCTAAAAGATTCTTAACTTTGGTGTTAGGGACACGTACCCCAAAACAAGACTCTTAGCACTTACTTTTAAGTATTTCTGTTAGTAAATATCGAGTGTCCAAAAAATTAGAATACAAATAAAATATTATATTAATATAAATTATCATTTATCTCTTTATACACAGTTATACGCCATGTCGCTTAACCCCTCTAGCATTTTATTAATCAATATTATTTTATAAAAAAAAGTTGGTGATTTTTATTTTCTAAGTTATTATATGATAAAAGGATAATAGAACCATAGTACAAACATGCCTTTATAATTTGAATAACATATACATTTTCTAATTGAAAATTAAAGATTGCAATAACTTATAGATCAGTGGTTTTCAGCCTCTTTTTATAAACACGACTCACTGTTGTTCATGATCCGTGTCTTGGCCATTGTACAATTTTTTCTTCAATGAAAACTTTATCATCATTTAATTTTATACTTAATTAGATAAACAAAATTATACTCAATTATACATTAATATTTTGTTATATTTTTATTAATTTTAATTTTAAAAATAAAACTTTCAAAAGCTCTTGGCATATCTAAGGAATGTTCATGGCACAACAGTTGAAAACAATTGGTGTATTTGATAAAAGTATATTACCTATCTATTTTATACAAATATTCTGAAGGTGATATTTTATCTTCTTCCATTTAAATACATGCATAATACCATTGTTTATGAATACTAGTATTTTTAATCAATGTTTATCCCTATATTATATTTTTTAATACTGTTTGAATTTCAAATAGCTGATCCATTTACTTATTGTTTAATGTCTATTACCAAATTTATTTTATAATTGATTGTTTAATTTATGTATCCTCATTGATATTTAGCGTTGGAGGTAACTAATATAGGTTTGTTGATTAAAAGGTACTTAGGTAACAATCAACCATGAACTAAGATATACTAGTATATCTTACTTCATGCTCTCAACAACTGTTTAATATTGAATAGTTTTGTACCTATCTATCATCTATTATAATTTTATTTAATAATAAAATATATTGGCATAGGAGAACCAAAAATAAAATTATTGTCTTTATTCAGTTTGTACTTGAAAGACAAATTATTTTGGGTAAAGTAAAATATTTTTATAGATAAATAAAAAATTACAATTATGCACTCCCAATAAAAATGTCTGCATTATACTTATTTAGTGATATCATTTACATTTTTATTTTAGCCTACACTAATTTACTAGTGGTTATAGAGTGATTAATCATTACATTACCAAATTACATATAAAATGTTATACCGTCACCCATCGTACTATTTGATGTTAAAATACCCCACGACTCATCAATTTAGGTTGTACTAATCAATAGTTTACACTAATCGAGGTCTTATGAAATTAAATTTTTAAATATGTTTCAATGGATTTTTAGTAGAATTACAACATTTGAACATAATTATTTATTTAAACTGATTTTAATCATCCAAATTATTTTTACTAATATCAATTTACTATAATATTATAATATTACATGTTTTTTTTTTAAAAATTTATCTTGAGCTTTGACAACAATGGCCATTAGCTGTCATTGTGCTAATTAAATGTGTTACCACTTACCAAATACCAACATTATGTTGCTTATTCAAAAACTAAGACTGCAAACAAAAATAATGTCACTTAAATGTAGCAATGTATACATAGGTTGGTACTAATATAAAAGTATAAATTATTATGTGTCAGAAAACCTAAAGCAGTTTTGGGAAAAAAAGCTCTATGATTAGCAGATGATTAAAGATTTTATTATATATTATATTTATAATTTAAACTTAATTAACTTAAATATATTATTATAAACATTAAGATACCTATTGCATTTGTCTGTATTAAAGGATTGAAATGAGGGACGTTGATGTGAAAATAAATAAAATCTGACCAAGTAAAACGAAGCATACTTGATGAGTAAAATTCAATGATTATCCTATATTATGATTTGGCTTTATTTCTATATAAACATCAATCATGGAGTTTTTTACATGGCAATGAGAAAAAGTTTAAGGTCAAATCAAATATTAAAGTAGTTTAGTCAAAATAGATAGGTACCTAGTCATAATATTCAGCACTACAAAGTTTAAAGTAAAATTTAATTTCAATCAATATCTAATCGCGCATGCTTATAAAAATGCAATTATACAAATACATCATGTACCCATGGTCTACCTGCAAAATAATACATTTTATACTATTTTAAATCGCCATTTCAATTTAAATGCAATCATTCATTTCGTTTTGTTGATTAATTAAAATATAATTAGTTTAATTAATTCACTAACAAAATCTTTTAACGATACTCGTTATGTAGGTAGGTACCTACTACCTACCTTTTTAACAGATGATTTCTAAAATACCTATAGGTTTTGAACTTTACCAATATACCATTCTTTATGTAAATTAAATGTTTGAAATTATTGACCTAACAAAACATTTGGTAGTTGGTCCTGAGTTATAATAATAATACAATAGTTACTTTTTGTGGATAATTACCGATTATTATTGGGTAGGATATTCCCCATGTAAATGTATTACATAATGATTGATCAGATGTCGCTAGGAAAAATAATAAATTAAAATTAAAAAATATATAATGAAATAAAATGCAAGATGAAAAAAGCATTTATAAGCTGTATTATGATACAGCTGGACAATAAGAATTAATCAACCGGCGCCGGTATTGTTTTTTTTGCTCTTATTTCGCTATTATTAATATTATTTTTAAAACGATTAAGGGTATACGGTTTTCTCACTAGTCGCCCCAAAAGTGCAATTTAACCAGAGACGCGTAAATCGAATCTGTCGATAATTTCAGGAATGGTGTCTGAAATTGAACTTAAAGATTTTATTCATAATACTTAATTGGATTCCTCAGAACCCTCAAAGAACTGAGAACTCCAATACCTATCAAAAATACGGCAAAAAGAAATTAAAAAACATCCAGTTATCCTCGCTCAGTAATTTATTTACACTTAGATAAAAGTCATTACTCATTAGTCATTAGATATATACCAGCACCACTGAATGCCATACGTGCAATATACATACATACCTACAACAGATTTATATGATAAAAAAAAAACAACAATACCTAAATATGTGAAGTTTCACAACTCCCCTTCAACCATTAACTCCAGTGCATCCTTAACTTTTCATTTTGATTGCACTTTTCATCAGCTGCAGTACGATTGAGCACTTTGTTCTTTTTTGACTCAACTAATGACGAAAACATGATTGCGCCTTCATCCCTTTTTACCTGATAAAAACGCGAGTGTTTGCCAAATAATAATATGTGTGTATACGGGCGTCACAGTTTTCTGCCAAAATCGACCTTTCCGTTTACCGGCATACAATAATATATATTCCCCTTATCCGCCACCACAAATTTCAGTTTCTATATTTTGGTAACCCCTGATTGAAAAAATTTAAATATTTTATAATATAGGTACTAGCTGTCCCGTCACGGCGTTGCCCGTGTATTATGTAGCTACATAAAAAAAACCCCTTTTACCCCCTTAGAGGTCGAATTTCGAAACATCCTTTCTTCGTGCACCCCTACATTGCTCAAGGGAGCTCTGTACAAAATTTCAAGTCTCTAGACCCCAGCGGTTTGGTCTGGGCGTTGATGAGTGAATACCGTGGTCTCCTATATGTATGTATAGATATCTTAGATTTTATTTGTTTAATTGAAAAATAATTCGTTAAGTACTAGCTATAACTGTGTTTAAACAAATAAATAATTAATTTTTTTTTTGTTTAATTAGCTGAATTACCGGCTTTGCCAGTGTGGAGTTTTTGCTTTCTCAAAATGAAATTCTTTAACCAACACACATTATTGTGTTCTAAAGAAGAAAAAATGTTACTTTACTTAATGCGATCAACTATCAAGTGCTAAATAGTATTAGTAGGTGAATTATAAATAAAACAAAAATAATAATAATAATTATGTTTAAAAATGATTCTAATGATTCTATACGCAATACACATATTGTTATTAAAAAATGATTCTACAGTTATAATTATATAATTTGAATAAACACGTTTATCGCCCATCGATAAGAAAAGTATTATTATTTTTCGATAACGCAATTTATATTATCGAGCTATTCGGTGTTTTCCATACAAGTCTCAACTTAATAGAAATGACGTTATGTTAGTTTGTAGCTTATAATATAATTTCGGCAAGTATTCCTACGTCATAAATATAGCGGTTGCGACCGTTGCTAAGTATGACGATTGACGGTCATCAGACAGATTAACTGTCGTAGTGTCGTGGCCAAACAAAGATCTATTAAAACATTATTATACATTTTCTAGCTGATCCCTTGCACTTGGCTGCCCTTTAAAAATGCCATCTCAATATGAGACTCGCTTGTGATAATGTGAGCAGTACATTATCAGGTAGGCCATCTACCCGCGGTGGATTGCGGGCCCCTAGCACACTCTATATGAATAATAAGTTTAATTTTAATTGTATTAATTATTTTTATTTTGCACATGCCGATGAGCGGCTACAAGTGTGACTCAGCCGACAGCCACCTTGGTAGGCAGTGTACTAAAATTCGATCTGACGCATTCTTAAAGCTGATCTTCCCGATTAACCAGGAATAAGTTACTACCTAACCAGAAAGTTGAGCAGATAATTAGTTATACGCATGTTGTATGGCACTGCGGCCCGCGGGTTTCCAGTTACTTGAAACTTGACCTTTTTGTCCGTCGAATTATGTCTTTGACCTGCTCTTCTATATCTTCGACTTATAGCATGGCGAGTTCTGCGGCTTAAGTTTGTTTAACATTTTAAGCGTGACTGCTTAAACTAACCAATATGAACAAACACTTATCAAAAAACATCTTGTAAAATTTTTCATCAAT